GGAGAAAACTGAGTCGGAGCTATCACACCACAGCACGCTGGCCAGCAAAAATCGGATGTGCCTCTTTGATAACAACCCTCCCCAAAACTGGCCGTGTCCTCTGGTTTCTATTTCAGCTAAGTAAGCATTTTTTCAGTCAACTGGCTTTCAAAGTTTTCCTTTCCATGTAGCCAAGACCTTACAGATTTTCCTTGTCTTCTCTTAGTCCTCCCAGACTTCCCCACCATTTACCCACATAGCTTTTTACCAGAATTCCTTCTGTTTGGAAAGTCCTTCCTTTTCCTTCCACCCCCTAATGCTAAACACATCCTCTCTCCAATAGTGTCCTTTCTGGTTTTATAGAACCTCCATTTCCTTGCGGCAGAGGCCTGGTCTATTTTCTGGCGCTAAACTCACTGTGTTCCATAAAAGTAAAAATGAAATCATTCGAACCAGTCAGGCCCAGCTTGCACCCTCCCTGCCAGTTGTTCACCCCAACTTTCCTGGGGTAACCATGTGCTCCCATTGTCCTTTTGGCAGCTCTACTTCTCACGCGACAAAATCTTTCCCTCTCCAGTCCATAAAGCCTGAATCATAGGTAACTTAAAACTTTCCGCTATAAATTCTTATTTCTCAAGGCTAAACAACCTTGATGAACCAAAGGAACAATGGTCAGAAATTAGCTGACTTGCAATATTAGCATCTTAATGTGTTTAACCCTTTGCACACGTGTCACCAGGGAGTAAATAAACAGAAGGAGTGCACTTTACAGACTCTTCAGAAAGATTACTTCATTTGTTCATGGTAACAGCCTCGAGAGGCCAGTAGGGTAGGCATTTATTAGCCCATTTACAGTTGACAAAACTAAACATAAAAAAGGTTAAGTGCCCGGCTGGCGTGGCTCAGTGATAGAGTTGTCAGCCTATGAACCAGGAGGTCACAGTTCGATTCCCGGTCAGGACACATGCCCAGGTTGCAAGCTTGAACTCCAGTGTTGGGCACGCAGGAAGCAGCCGATCAATGATTCTCTCTCATCAGGGATGTTTCTATCTCTCTCCCCCTCACCCTTCCCCTCTGTAAAAAGGTTCTGACTCACCCAATCAATGTCACACGACTAGCAAGTGTCAGTCCAAACCCCTACCTACGAAGGTCTTGCCTCTTCCAACCCAAAGGCTGTCTACTCTGTACTCTGTTTCTGTCCTATAGCCACAAAGTGGCTTTCTAGAGACTCAGGATTCCAAAGAAGACGCCCCTCTGACTTCTGAGACACCATCTCCCTTCTTCAGCTAACAAGCCAGAAAGCCATCTTCAACCTCCCCCAGAAAACAATGCCCTTTTCTCCTATGCATCACCCTCAACAACTAGTTTCCAAAATAATTCCCAACAGTTCCTGTTTTAGAGGGACTTACTCGGAAGGCACTAGTAGTCCAAAACACTTGCATCAGCATATGATTTTCTCAATAAAGTTCAGGGCTGATGCAACATTTCTCAGTCTCAGATTTTACAGCTAAAATGACAAGAAGGCAGAGGAATAAAAAATCATGCAAGACAATGCTACATTTTTTTTCCCCACTCCAACACATCTGCCTCTATGAGTCTCCTGTGAGTCACTGTCATTTGTGTTCAGTCATCATTACAGGAACAGCCATTCTTTCTACCCTCAATTACTTTACTTTCTTCCTTAGAGAAAATCTCTGCAATAGAAAAGGAATTCCATTATATCTCTTACCGCTTTGCTGAAGCACTGACCCCTTAACTTAGTGCCTCAGATACCATGATGTTCCCATTTTCATCACAACCATTTTACACAAACAGAAGGGGAGGCCAAGTGAGATTGCAATTCATTTACTAATCATTCATCAAGCACAAATGAAATCCTCAGATGCCAGGGACTGAGACCAAAAAAAAATGAGTATGTATCCCTCCTGCAGAAATTGGTTTGGCTCAGTGGATGGAGCATCGGCCTGAGGACGGAAGGGTCCCGGGTTCGATTCCCGCCAAGGGCATGTACCTTGGTTGCGGGCACATTCCCAGTAGGGGGCGTGCAAGAGGCAGCTGATCAATGACTCTCATCGATGTTTCTCTCTATTTCTCTCTCCCTTCCTCTCTATAAAAAAAATCAATAAAATATTTTTTAAAAAAAGAAGTAGTAGTATCTCTCCTCTCACAGCCTGCTAGCACAGAAAACTAATGTAGTAATTACAGGCACTCTCCCCTTTCTTACCCCCAAACCCCCACAGAAGACAAGAAAAGGTCTCCTCATCTAGACGCTAACATCTTTTTGGTGCCGTGACTCAAAATTGTACAAACCGTGTACCTACATCACCACGTCTGTGTGAAAATGATGTCACTTCTGGAATTCCAGCCCATCCCTACTTTAGAAGAAACAGCCAACAGCCTCTCTATTCCAGTCTCAAACCCCATTCCATTGTCTCCCTTAGATCAGACACGAAGAGAGACTTCCATACTCTAACATATACCATTATCAACAGGAGGCACTTACTGAAAACAGACCATCCTCCCTCATCAACCCTAAAAGATTCTAGGGGTGGAAGTCTCTGAGGGGGAAATGTTGTAGAATAGTAAGAAGCTAGGAAAATTCCAGGACAAGTGGAATAGGGAAACTGAGACCGATGGTTAAACAGCAGTTTGTCCACCTAGGAAATCCTATCTTCCTTAAGCCAAGGGCACAAGGGTAAATGGTTTGCCCAACTGGTGCGGCTTAGCCTGGGGTCCGATTTCCCCATCTTCTTCTCACCTCCCACCCCCATCCCACAGGTACATATCCTGTAAGGGACCCTATGAGACTTGCAACCAGAGGAGCAATGGGCAGTGGCAGCTTGTCCTGGACTAACCCTCTGAACCTGTTCCCAGGCCCCTTCCCCCCATTTCCTCTGACTTCCCAGTGAGCCAGGCAGCCCTGCCTAAGGCTCTCTCTCCTGCTACTACTTCTATGCCCTTCTTTGTCTCACTGTCCTAAGTATATTTCTGCTGTGGTCAATAAATTATTGTCTGCTTTTTTTAAAAAAAGAGAAGTTATCATAGAATCAGCTGGTCAACATTAGGGTAGAGGTGAGCACATGGCTTAGGGCAGGCCATCATAGAATGATTTCTGGAAGAAGTGAACTGTGGGCATTTACAAGCATCTCTTTCTTTATTCTCAGTATAAAACAAAATTAAAAGACTCAACTCCACTTCTTAAAAGATTATAAGATTTACTTGCCAACAGTCAAGTCAAAAATCAAATTTAATAGCAGAATTTATTCCTGGCTGTGGCCGGGTAGCTCAGTTGGTTAGAGCATGGTCCAGATACGCCATGGTTGCGGGTTTGATTGCCAATTGGGCATATACAAGAATCAACCAAAGAATGCATAAATAAGTAAAGCAACAAATTTATGTTTCTCTCCTAAAATCAATCAACAAGATATTTTAAAACATTTAGAAAAAAAGAATTTATTCTTGACTCCCTACCCTAGATTTCAACCCTTACCTCACACTCCCTTAGCACACATTATAGAGAGTTTAACAAATTCTGTCCTATATACTACCTTCTCACAAGTCTGTAGAACAGGATTAAAGATATGCACAATGAAATAATATGTACCTTAAAAAAATACGATCATTACCCTAGCTGGTTTGGCTCAGTGGGTAGAGCGCCAGCCTGCGGACCATAGGGTCCTGGTTCGATCCAGTCAAGGGCACAGACCTCGGCAGGCTCCTCCCCTGGTCCAGGCCCTGGTCTGGGCACGTGTAGGAGGCAACCAATCCATGTGTTTCTCTCACATCCTTATTACTTTCTGTCTTTCCTCTCTCTTCCACTCTCTCTAAAATCAATGGGAAAATATCTCCATTAACAACAAAAACTGTAAACAATATAATATAAAGTATTATATTTTAAAAAAACACACACGATCATTTTCTTAACTGGAAAGGAACACTGAACAATCCAAGCCCCACAAGGCATAGCTGTCGGAAGAGGAAACTGAGGTTCAAAAGTCCCACTTCAATACAGCAGAATAAAAGGTCCCTTTGAAGTCACCAGAACAGCTTGAACAAAAAAGGGAAACAGAAGGCTATTGTGGGGGCCCTCGCCTCCAGATGCTGAACCCCAAACACGCTGTCCTGGTAAACAAACAAGCCTGTGAGGCGGGGTCGGACTCGATGGACCTCACACAACATTACAATTTAAGGCATCTCTCTCTTCCCATTCATTCCTTCCCAAAGTCCCACTGGCTGGCAGCTCCTTGTTTTCCTTCCTGGTTCTTGGGTTTATTACCTGTAAATTATAATGTATGGTGTGCTTTCAAAAAAAAAAAAAAGGTACTGACAAATGAAAACAGCCCTGGATTTAAAGCCACATGAAAGACAGCGTATGTAACAGAAATGAACTCTGCCTGTGTTTACTATGAGGACCTATTACTCTTTTATGCTGCTCCAGTGGATGTTAAACACATGAATGCTACCACCGCCCACTAAATAGCAGGTTCGCGCCGGGAAGGAGCCCATTCAAACACCTGCCTCAGCGGGGCCCAGACGGCTCCCGCGGCTCCCGGGCCGGCCCAGGCCACGCACCTGACCGGCCCGGGTTGCAGACCCGGGGCTTCCGCCGCCGGCCCGGAGCAGCCCCGGTCCTGTGTGCACTTGGCCCGGCACCCCCTCCTCCCTCCCACCACTCCGACCCCGGCGGGAAGCGGGGGAACCAGCGGCCCCAGAGAGAAGGCTGGCGGCGGGCGGACATGGGTGAGAGGGTCCTGAGGGTCTGTGAACCCCGCCGGCCCCAGGCGGGCCCGAGACCTCACCAGCACCCCCCATTCGGGGTCCCCCCGGGGCACCCCGCACCCCTCCCGCTCTCTGGCCCTGGGGGCTGCGACCTCCCCTTCCGGACCTCAGGGTTCGCTGAGGACCCAGACCCAGACCCACCGCCACCCAAAGCCCCCTCCCGGCCCGGGCCGCCGACCCCGCTGCGTCCCCGCCCGGGCTTCCCCGCCACCCGGGCCCGGGCCGCCGGGCGGGCCGCGCACCGTGTGGGACTGCAGGCTCTGGCTCGCCTCGATGGCTGCTGTCAGCGGCACCGTGTCGTCCAGCAGCACCTTGCCGGCCGGCGGCTTCTCCATGAAGGCCATCCCGGGAACGCCGGTCCGCCGCCGCCTCGGGTCCAGGGGCAGGAACCGCAGGCGCAGACTCCCGCCCGCCCGGCTCCGCCGCCGCCGCTGTCAACACGCACCGCCCCACGCGCCGCCGCCGCTCGCCGGCCCGGCCCGCGAGGTCCTAACGCCGCCCGTCCGCACTCCGCGCCGCCGCCTTCCGCGGGGTCCTAGCGCCTAACGGCATCGGTCGGTGTTGCCTGGACCCGCTATTATTCTCCAAGGTTATTATTCTCTTGCAGCCGCTCCGCACACGGAGTGGTACCCTTAGCCCTGGCCCTCTGGCCCGCGGACACGTCACCCTCCCTAAGCCATCACCTCCAGAGATCCTCAGAACCGAGGGCATCGTGTCCTCTGCCCTGTGATCCAGGTACCCTCAGGCCCGCAGATCCCCAAAACCAACCCGCTCAGTGTTGGGCTTGACACATGAACCTCTCAGAAGCTGGACTGTCAGACTGAAAAGCTTTACAACTGGACCTTTTTCACCCAGGCCTTTCAGACCCAAGGACCCTAAGACCCAGAAAAAAAGCCCTCAGGATGGGTCCCTCAGTCTGGATCCCTGTAGATCCAGAGATTTTCTAAAAACAAGTCTCTCCAAGTCAGGTTGTAAGGGCATGTTTGCATTTCGCTCTTCAGACCCAAGAACCTAAGAGCTGGGCCCTCAGAATTAGCCCCACAGTGGGAGCCCCTGGACTGCAGAACCTTTAGACCCCAGCTCTTTTGAATAACTGGGAATCTTAAAAACTGGGCACTGGTCCAGGGACTCCCAGCCTCTACCCTTGGTCCAGCTCTTAGCTCAGTCCACAGGCCTTCAACCCTGAGAACCCTCAAACAAGATCCCTCAGACTTGGGGGTCCTCATGAAGAATCTCAAACCCAGAGCCAGAGAACTTTGTGCCCAACTTCTTGGCCCCAAATTTGTCCCGCAGTCTGTCTGAACCCCAGGTCACAAACTGGCACTCCTTACCAATGACCCTGTCCTAACCCTTTACCCCCACCCCCACCCCCCCCCACACACACCCTGCTCTGTCCTAGGGCAGCACCCCAGGATGATGCAGAGTTAGACTTGGAATTAGATGACCAGGATCTCTAGGGCTCTGGCATTTCCACAGCTGTGTGATATTGAAGAAGTTACTCAACCTTTCTGAGCCATGTGTAAAATAGAAATAATACCTGTACGAAAAGGTTGATATGAAGAATGAAGTAGGAGGGGAAGGGGCTTGGCATATAGTAAAAGCTCAATATTCCTTCCTTCCCTTCAGTTCACATAATAGAGGGTTTCTAACTCTTAAATTTGTATCCCCTAAATTTCTGCATTTCAGATAAGAAAACAATGTTTCTTAGTAACACCACCACCACCAATACCCCCAAATTTGACATCAAAGGCCTAGTATCTAAAGGGTACTCTCTCCAGATCTCAAACTTAGTGGGATTGTTGGGCAATCCTAAATGGCTAAGGAGCCTTGACAGAGCAACATATGGGCCAAAACCCAATGGATAAAAATGTTATGAGGAAAGCATGGCACTTCTTAACTCAGTCCTAAAATTATCAGAACTCTTCTTACATCCCATTTTTGTCCGAGTGTATTTATTTTAAAACAAATTTTTAAAATTGATATCAGAGAGGAAGGGAGAGGGAGAGAGACATAGAAACATCAATGATGAGAGGATCATTGATTGGCTGCTTCTTGCACACCCCACACTGGGGCTTGAGCCCGCAACCCAGTATATGCCCTGTCTGGGAATCGAACCATGACCTCCTGGTCACAGGTCGAGCTCAACCACTGAGCCATGCTGGCCAAGCCCAGAGTGTTTAAAAGCCATCAGTCTATTAAAACAAAATCTTACATCACTTAGAGGGTTCAACTTGTAACTTTTATTTTTCAATGCAAATGGATTATTATTTCATTGCCAGAATCACACATACCCCAATTCTGCTTTAATCAATTCTCTAATCCTGTGCACTGGCCATGCCAAAGCTTCTCTTGCATCCTGCTGATGGGACTCTGAAATGCTCCAACCTTCCTGAAAGGCACTTATTCATTCAACAATTATTCACTGAGTACTTACCAAGTAATAGGTCTGGTGCTGGGATTCAACAATATTTATCAAGGGCTTTGAAAATGTTCTCATTCAGTGATTCTATTATATCTAGGAGGGTACCCTAAGGAAATAATCAGAGATCAGTGGAAATATACAGCATGTGAGGATAAGAATCTAACAAGAGGGAATTGGACAAATCGTGGTTAATCATAAATGGAATATTTTTCAATGACTAAAAATAAGATTAAAAAAACAGATTATCAAAGAATACTTAATGATGTAAGAAGTGCTCTTTATATAATAGTAGGTGGAAAAAAACACTGTTGATTCTTGAACAACACAGGTTTGAACTGTGCAGATCCACTTATCCCTGGGGTTTTTTTCAATAAATATAGTCAGCCCTCAGTACTTCCTGTTTTGTATCCATAGATCAAACCAATTGTTCAGTATTTTGATACATAGTTGGGAATCTGCAGATGCTTTTTTTCTATGCCTTTAAAAAAAAAAATATATATATATATATATATATATATATATATATATATATATATATAAAATTGATTTTTTTTTACAGAGAGGAAGGGAGAGGGATAGAGTTAGAAACATCAATGAGAGAGAAACATCAATCAGCTGCCTCCTGCACACTCCCTACTTGGGATGTGCCCACAACCAAGGTACATGCCATTGACTAGTATCTATCTAACCTGGGATCCTTGAGTCTGCAGACCAACACTCTATCTACTGAGCCAAACCGGTTAGGGCTCTATGCTTTTTTATATAAGGGACTTGGGCATCTGCAGATGTGGGTATCCATGGGGGGAGGGGGTGTCCTGGAACCAATCCGATACCAAGGGTTGGCTGTAGTTAGGTTTTGAGGTAGGTAAAAGTTATTTGTGGAGTTTCAACTGCACGGGGGTCAGTGTCCCTAACCCGTGCATTGTTCAAGTGTCAACTGTATATGCATTTGTATGGCACCAAGTTTTAAAAATATATATTATAGGAAAAACACCAAAAGAAAATACACCAAAATATTAACTTAGGGTTCCTAGGAAGTGAGATCATGATGCTTTCCATTTTTATGCTCTCGTTTTTCAAAATGTCTCTCATGGAGATAATTTACTTGTATGATTAGGGGGAAAAATAGTATCATACAATGAGTTGCAAAGGTCATAAAATAACAACCTTGTCTAGTCTTCCTCACTAGGAAAAGGAAACTGAAAGTGAGAAACCAGATATTGGATGGAATGGAACCAGATACCAGTTTTCAGTCTAGCCTTTTCCTTTCTCTGGAAATTCTTGTCTGAACTAAGCCCCTCAGAATAAATACTATAGTGCAGTTTATAATTTCTTTTTTATCTTCCCAAATCAGTGCCTCGTCAGTGATCCTCTTAGGACCTTGAACTTAACTCGATCTCTAGATTCACTGGAGACTGACCCCGAACCCTGCAACAGCCTCAACACCTGTTTGGCTTTTGAAGTGGCTCACACAGCAAGGGGGGACCTTCCCCAGGCAGAGCTGAACTTAATTAAGTTAGCTATCCTCCCAGTCTCAGTCTGAGCAAAGCTAATGCATTATGCAGGACCTTAGTTTTTGCCACATACATTACTACTCAGGGCTGGCAGGAAGAAACAAAAGATTTGCATTCTTGTATGTTGCCAAATGTTAAATGCCCATAGGTTATCTAATAACTTCACGTTTGGCCAGATTGGCAAAAGACGAGTTTTAGTGAGGATGCTGTTAGACCTGGCAACTGCTCCACACATCACACCATAGAAGCTTGTGGAAAACTCAGTGCTTCCTAAGCAGCATCGCCTCCCAACCCAAAATGACCTATTTCTTTTAATATTCAAACAAACCAACAGCCAGACAGACAATCCTAACACTGGTGCTTGGGTACTCCCCTCCTAGGAAGGAAAGACTTTGGAGCTGCCATTTATTTTCTCCTGGTGTTTTCATATGTCTGACAACTGAAAACTTCATGATCTGGATAGAAATACAAAATTCAACTCAAATTTGATCATTCTTATTTCTCTTATTCCTCATCACATTGCAGAGGAATATTCCCAAGGTTTCTAAGGTCATATGAACTACTAGAGGCCTGGGGCATGAAATTCATGCACAGGTAGGGTTCCTAGGCCTGGCCAGTGACCAGGGCCCATCATTCTCCCACCTCCTCTTTCCCTTGCCACTCATGTTTGCTACCACCATGCCACCCCCCCCCACCCCTGCTCCCCTCTCCTTCCACTACCCACCTCCTCCTTCCTTTGCTCTCTCAGCATCCCATTGTCACCACTAGTTGCCTGCCATGTTCCACGCTGCCCCCTGGTGGTCAGCACACATCATAGCAAGTGACTGAACTCCCATTCTCCCAAACTCCTGAGGAGACACTATGCATATTACCCTTTTATATATATTGATTATAGCTAAGAGGCACCTAGAAATTAACTATGGGACCAATTAATCCAATCCTATTCATGTAATGTCAACATTAGTTTTGAGTTTTCCTGTGATTTGAACTTAAATTTCTTCTAGTTGATTTTGCTCCAACCTGAAGTTTCACTGAAGACATTGGGAATTCTTATCTCTGCTGTTTCTGTAACCCAAATGAAGACAAGCCAAGAACAAAGGAAGTAAAACATCTGGGGCCTTGGAGATGTTCAAGTGTGGCCTAAGAGACATTCCACAGTGCTCCCATTCTGCTCAGAGCCAGTTAATAAATTATGCCAAGGCATGAAGCATTCAGAGTGGCACAGCTGCTCAGAGTGACAGCCCTTGGTGGAGTATGTTTTGATATAAAAATTTAATAGATGTAATTTATAGCAATTTTCTTTGGGAGTAAATTGCTCTGAATCATACACCAAGAACATTAAAAAAAAAAAAAAAAAAAAAAAAAAAAAAGGCTAGTAATTTAGCACAAAATGAAAACCTGTGGTTACCTAAGAGCTACCAGCATGCATTTAGCAATTTCTTGTTTTTCTAGATAAATATACAAGTCAAGTCCACAAGATGAATGGTGGCTGTGGTGAGACTTTTTCCTGTTACTCAAGATTTGCTGCTCAGAAAAAGAAACGTGGCATTTTACCAATATAGAAATGTTTCTAATAGAATATAAAAAAATCTGTTAAGCAATTTTCCAGTACATTTGGCTGAAATTGCTTAAGATGAGTATATCTTCCTGTGACAATCAAACATTGCATAAATTGTAGTATTATAATGCCCCTATGTGGAAAGTACTAGTACACTTTGGCCTGCTATTTTAGTCAGTCATTTGTATTCACTTCCATGTGTGACCTCACATGGTCAAAGCCATCTCTGTTATCTGGAACATTTCCCAATTTGAGGGTCACCCATAGTTCCATTACAAGTCATTCTTTCCAGCAGCTTACCCATGCAGGATTCAAAATGAAAAAGCCAACCGCTAGTTTTTCTTATTGCCAGCTTTAACATACATAGCTGCTTTGAAAATCTTGGCTCTGAGTAAAAATAACAAATCATCATTTACAGAGAAGCATCCTTAACTTCTTGCCTACTCATCTATTCAACGTTTTACTGACTTATAGAGATCAAAGATCATGACACCTAGGGAGAATTAAAGAAAAAGGAAATGAGCTTGAGATAATACTTTTGAGTTATACAATATAAATCAGCTAACAGCCCTTCCTGCCCTGGCCCCTCCTTGCCCCGCCCCAAATACTTGGCCTACACATAATTTTTCATCTTTAGAGTAACTCTGTCAGTAAATCTGCTCTGGAGACAATCACTGAATGTCAACTTAAAAAAAGGGTAAGAATAGGTATGGATGGAAGGCATAAAGTAATTGTATATAAGAAAATGCTACACTAGAGCAGGGAATAGGATCTAGAACATACTGAATATAAGAAAGATTCTACAGAATGATGTTTCCTAATACTTTCAATGGCCATAAAATATGCTATTATAGAAACTGACATTGCTTTAGTAATGGGAACATTGTAAGACACAGGGTGATGTAAAAAAGAAATGTTTGGAGCCTGCCAGGCTCGTCTGAATTCCAGCTCTCCTGCATACTCACTGTACAACCCTGGGCAAGTCACACAGCATTAGTCTGTTTCTTTGCCTATAAAGTAGGACAATATAAGTTTAACTTCTCAAAGTTGTTCAAAGGATTAGTTAATGTAGCAAACAGGCTCATCAAGTATTGAAGAAAAGATAGCTATTAGTATTAATATCATATTCCATTTCAAGACTGCTGCTAAGTGACAGAAAATGAGTTCTATAGAATTTGAATATGGCTTCAGGTCCACATTTTGCGCAAGTTCCCCATTCTTTCAACGTGGTATCAAATTTTCAACATGTGCAGTGCTTTATCATCAGCAAGCTGTGGATCTGAGCCTGTGAACGCTGCCCATTCTGAAATGCATGAGAATGGCACCCTTGTTTCTCATTGATTTGAATTATTTATTACTTCAGTCACAAACTAGAATATGGTACAATATTAAACAAGTTTAAAAATACTTTACACACATTACTGCCCTCTAGTGACTAGAATTCTTTCAAGTAATCCGTTTAACTGATCCTCTTAATGTAAGAATCTAAAATAAAAATCTAGTTACTGATCTACTAGGAGAAAAAAACCTTTTTCCAGGAAATGTGGGTTGACTCTACCAATTACCCTTGATTTTACTTTCCTGATCATCTCGTTATGGTCGGAGCTAGTCAGGTAGGCCACATGCATGTTCCGTCACAGGTTGTCTTTAAAGGGTTAGCTGTGTTGAGCCGAAACCGGTTTGGCTCAATGGATAGAGCGTCGGCTTGGGGACTGAAGGGTCCCGGGTTCGATTCCGGTCAAGGGCATGTACCTTGGTTGTGGGCATATCCCCAGTAGGGGGTGTGCAAGAGGCAGCTGATCGATGACTCTCTCTCATCGATGTTTCTAACTCTCTATCCCTCTCCCTTCCTCTCTGTAAAAAATCAATAAAATACATTTAAAAAGGGTTGTTCTCTCTCTGTTCAAGCTTGGACTCAAATATGTACACACAAAAGCTCTGATATTATAAAAAAAAAAAAATAAAGGGTTAGCTGGGTTGGTATGACCACTGAATACTAACACATTAGGCACATTTTCTCTTTAATGCCCCCAACTCTGAAGAACTTGGCCTCCAAGGTGTTCCTTATACTTTTATTTCTTATAAAATTTTTTACAATAGGTATATATTATTTATATATGGGAGGAACCCACATCATCAAGGAAGGGAGCAAATAATCTGGATTGCTAAAATAGAAATTTTGCACGCAAGAACTATTCCAGGTTTAAAATACCAAGAGATTGGTTGACATCCTGAAAGACTGGCCTATTTACCTGCGGGCCAGTTAGCTTTAAACTCTGGAAAACCTCTAACCTCATTCACAGGGGAGAAGGAACAATAGTAGCTATTGTTTACAGGCTAGGTGCTTTGCTATTTGTATCTCTGACAATCCCGTGGTAGGTGTTATTACCCCCATTTTATAGATTAGACCAAGAGTTTACATAACCGAGTTTAAATCTTTCTCTGATAACAAGAAACCATCTGAGAGGCACGTACCACTTGAAGGTTAAGCAAGGTGCCATCTTGGTATAAACAGTAACGAATTACAAAACACTCTGACCCAGAAACTACTGAAGAACAGTATCTAAGAATATTTGTTGCTAAAAGACAGGTGTTCAAAGATGACCCAACTTCTATTCTAGTTGCCATCAAAAATTAAATGCTACCTAGCTATAAATTCACTGAGAAACTTATTCTACACAGATATAGGTAAGTTTGTTATCTAAATGCAAATTTAACTTGGTTTGAAATCCTAAAATTAGAACTTTGAGCTAAGAAAAACCCATATTTTTTTAAATTTACAAACTTAGATGAAGCCTAAGGCCAAAATAGAAAGTGGACACGTGAACACTTCACTCCCCCACCATGGGCTGCTGGCCACTCCTTGTTGAAGAGCGGCAATCGGTTTTCCTCAGAGGCTATTCAATAAAGGAACACTGATGCCTGAACTTGCACCTTTATTTTATTTTTTTTAAATATATTTTATTGATTTTATACAGAGAGGAAGGGAGAGAGATAGAGAGTTAGAAACATCGATGAGAGAGAGTCATCGATCAGCTGCCTCTTGCACACCCCCTACTGGAGATATGCCCGCAACCAAGGTACATACCCTCGACCAGAATCGAACCCGGGACCCTTCAGTCCCCAAGCCGACGCTCTATCCATTGAGCCAAACCGGTCTCGGCTGAACTTGCACCTTTAAACGCCTATTTCAGGGGTTGGGAGCTTCTGGGACCATAACTTTAACGCAGCCTTCCATAACAGTCTTTTCACTTTCTCTCACAAAGCATGACACAGCAATAACAGCAATGGACCGCTTCAGCCTTTTCACTTCTGCAGAAGCTACAACAACTTCTCCAACATATAAAGGGGCTGGAAAGTGAATTTCCTGGGAAACAAATACACAGCCTGGGCCTGGCATTTTAGTGCCTAGGAGAGCTGAAATAAGTCCATTGATCAAAACTCCGTGCACAATTGTCTTCCCAAACTTGGTGTGTTTTGCAAAATCTTCATTTAAATGCAAAGGATTGACATCCCCTGTCAGTTCTGAGAAGACAACCACATCCCTTTGTGTGAAGGCTCTGCTGAGTTCAGCCCGGTCTCCAACTCGGATGTGCAAATGCTGAAAGTGCTGCCTGCTTACAACTGGCTGGTTCAGGCAGACTCTCCTCTGAAGGCTACTCCACCAGAGACGACGGCTGGAAATTGCGGGGAACATCTTCGGCACCCTCAAATTCCAACAGGAGCGCTGAGCCTGTTTCAGTCATCAAGCATTATGCTGCCACCAAAAGATAGCTTTGAGAGCAGAGGAATGTTTCTGAAAGAGAAGGCTATTCAATCCAATACTAGTTCCCTACTATTACCAGATAATGCAAGAAGAAATGGAGAAACCTGTAAGAGAAAGAAACTGTTTACACAATTATCAGGAGAAAATTGCACCAAAATGCAGGGCAATGCAGAAACATGCCTAGTTTATAGGATAAGCCACGCTGATGCAGCAGCATTTTAACAAGCATCCTGAGAGATGGCCGCAGATAAACAAGTGATCATGATGAGCTCAGAAAGAGCATTCCAACACACAAGTCACTAGGCATTATACAGTAAGTGAAAGTTAAGATTTCTCCACAAGGTTCCAAGTTTTATCCCAAAACTCTTCCCATACAATCTAAACTGTAAGTGCTTGGTCTCATGTTTCTAGAAGCAACGAATGCCTGGATTCCCCTTCTTCCCCAGCTGGATGATAGTAACCAAACTAGAGTTATGCAAGCAGAAAAATGGAACACATTCTAAAAAGCAGTTTGATCCATCCTCAGCCTTGTTTGGAATATGTGATGAAATAATCTTTACCTGAATCACTCTGAAGGCACATTTTTTGCCTTTATAGGATCCTAACAGGGTCAAAGAGCTCCACAATCTGACAAGACCACTGCAGAAAAAAATTGAGAAAGCATAAAGATGTGTCCCTGCAACACCTCCCAAGTACTTTTGTGACAGTTCAGAAAACTCAATTTAAATGAGAAAACTTTAAGGCATAGTATATTATAGGCAGAGAATAAAATGAACCATAATTATAAATGTTTCTAAGATATATATTTCTGAATTTAAAAAAATTTTCTTTTTAAAAATATTTTTAAATTAATTTCAGAGAGGAAGGGAGAGAGGGAGAGAGAGAGAGAGAGAGAGAAAGATCAATGATGAAAGAGAATCATTGATCAAGCTGCCTCCTGCACGCCCCCTACTGGGGACTGAGCCTGGAACCCCAGCATGTGCCCTTGATCAGAATCATCCCAGGAACCTTCAGTCTGTAGGCGATGCTCTATCCACTGAGCCAAACTGGCTAGGGCCATATTTCTGAAGTTGCAACATCACCGTCAATTGGGAAAAACTACAGTTATAAGCAAATCCACAATTTGCTCTCTAGGGTATAAGCTCCAGATAGATGAAGAATGTTCATGTTCTCCCAGTTTAAACTTCTAAAAGCTGCTCAGAGTTCACAATGACAAAGCTCTTCTTATTCTCAGAAAAGAGCATTTAGCTCTATTTCCCCACCCCTCTCTGCTCCGTTATACTAGAAATGCTGTTTGTCGTACCTGCTGCATATTCTCAGGATGGCTGACAAGGTCTTCTCTTCGTAGGTTAGGATGTCCAAGGGTAAGGCAGCATCAACCTAAGCATGGGACAATGCTATTAGCAGACTACTGTCTTCATTAATCTAAATCTAATAACTAATCCTGTCAATTACTTTCCTCCTCCTCCAAAAAGGGCAGTATTTTACTGAATGGCACTGGAGTATTGGACCTGCCCGGGATGTTCTTCCTGTATCTCTTCACATTGCTAATGCCTCTTCACTCTTTAAGTCCTCATTTAAAATATATATTTTATTGATTTTTGTACAGAGTGGAAGGGAGAGAGATAGAGAGTTCGAAACATCAATGAGAGAGAGTCATTGATCAGCTGCCTCTTGCACATCCCCTACCGGGGATATGCCCGCAACCAAGGTACATGCCCTTGACCGGAATCGAACCCGGGGTCCTTCATTCCCCAAGCCGATGCTCTATCCATTGAGCCAAACCGGTCCCGGCTAAGTCCTCATTTAAATTGTTCCCTCCAGACCCCCAAGATGAAGCGCAATCATTTGCTATGCTCTCACACATAGGTCCCACATATTTCCCCTTTCATAAGTCATCATTTTTGCCATTAATTGTTCAACCTAGTTGCCTACCCAACATAATCAAGATCATTAGTCCATGAGCAGAAGCATGTCTGTTTATAGTTATATTCCCAGAACCAGGTTTTATACCTGACATGGAAAGGATACAAAGATTTTTTTTTCTTAAATTAAAAAAAAAAAAATCATTTTATTTTTTATTGAATTTTATTGGGGTGACACTGGTTTATAAAATTACATAGGTTGGCCAGGCCCGGGGGAGCAGGCGGGGCTGGTGCGGCCAGGCCCGGAGCAGCGGCTGCCAGGCTGGGAGCGGTCAGGCCCGGGGGAGAGGCGGGTCGGGTGCGGCCAGGCCCGCAGCAGCGGCTGCCAGGCTGGGAGCGGCCAGGCCCGGGGGAGCAGCCGGGTCGGGTGCGGCCAGGCCCGGAGCAGCAGCTGCCAGGCTGGGAGCGGCTAGGCCCGGAGCAGCAGCAACCAAGTCCAGACCAACTAGGTCGGGAGCGGCAGTGACCAGACCCGGAGCAGCTGATTGTGGAATGAACCAGAGCAACAGAGGCCAGGCCCTGAGCAGCCAGGCCCAGAACAGCTCGCTCCTTGCCTGCCCCTGCCCCACGGCTGCTTCTCAGACATGGCTGGAAACTTTCGTGGGAACTTGAGGGTCTGCTGAATCAAGTGATGAAGGCTTAGATCTGGATGTGTTGAGTTAGTTTAGGACTGGGGTGTTGATCTGTGAGTGCCTTGGGTGGGGCCTGGATGAGGCTGGTTGACCTAGAGGGAAATGTCTTTTGTGTGAAGTGTATCATTGGGCATGTGGAGGTATTATTGATATGAGAAAATGCTAAATAAATGATTTACTATCTGAAAAGGGATTTACTATTGGGGAAATTGAGGGAAGAAGAGACTGAACATAAACTGCACCTATGGATGAGGACAATGGGGGGGGGGGGGACGGAGGGTGAGGTGGGAACCTGGTGGAGGGGGTAAGAAATGAGGAACCTTTGTAATAATATGAACAATAAAGATTGATTAAAAAATAAATAAATAAATAAATAAAATTACATAGGTTTTAGGTGTACAATTCTATAATACATTCTCTGTATATTGTTGGTTTTTACAAAAATTGATTTTAGAGAAAGGGAGATAGAAACATCAATGATGAAAAATAATAATCAATTGGCTGCCTCCCGCATGCTCCCTACTAGGGATGGAGCTTGTAACCCAGGCAGGTGCCCTGACTGGGAATCATTGAACCGTGACCTCCTGGTTTATGAGTCAACGCTTAACCACTAAGCCACACCAGCCAGGCACATTCTCTGTACATGGTATTATATAGAGAATATAAAAACCATCCCAAGTTTTTTCTTAAACTTTTGCCTTTCAAAAATTAAGAGTCCCAGGCAATTGCAAAGAAATGACAGGAAGGTTCCATGCACCTTCTACCCAGCCTCCCCCAATGCTAACATCTTGTATAACACAGTATGATATCAAAACCAGAAGACTGAAATTGATAAACCAGTTTATTCAGATTTTACCATTTATATATGCACTCATATTTGTTTGCTTATGTGTGTGCATATGATAGTTCTTTGTAATTTTACCACATAGGTAGTTTAATGTAACCACTATAATCAAGATCAAGAACTATACCACCTCCCTAGCCAGTTTGGCTCAGTGGATAAAGCGTTGGCCTGCGGACTGAAGGGTCCCAGGTTTGATTCTGGTCAAGGGTATATGCCTGTGTTGCAGACTGAATTCCCAATAGGGGGTGTGCAGGAGGTAGCCAATCAGTGATTCTTTCTCATTACTGATATTTCTTTTTCTCCTTCTCCCTTCCTCTCTGAAATCAATCAAATAAAGATACACACACACACACACACACATATATTTTATTTATTTATTTATTTTTTAATTTTTTTTTTTAAAGTAACTACACCACCACCACAGGCTATTTCCTTTTCCTCCTACAGCCACACCTACTCCTAAATTTCTCCAGTTTATACATTTATGTTATTTCAAGCGCATAATATAAACAAAATCACCCAGTCCATTTCATTTGGGATTGGCTTTTCACTTAGTAACTCTCTGGAGATGTGGTCAGGTTGTTGTATCAGAAGTTTGTTCCTTTTTATTACTGAGTATACTCCATGGTATGAGTGTATTATAGTTTAACTATTCACCCATTGAAGGACATCTGGCTTGTTTCTACTTTAGGCTTTTACTAATAAAGCTGTCATGAACATGCAAATACAAGTTTTGGTGGGAAGTTGTTTTCATTTCTCTAGAATAATTGCTCAGGTATCCAACTGCTATGTTAGTCTGTGTAAGACAGGAAACCTTTTTTCTGCCAAAGGCCATTTTTCCCCCCCAAAGGCCATTTGGATATTTATAGCATCATTTGCAGGCCATACAAAATTATCAACCTAAAAATTAGCCTATTACTTCTTCTATCCTAGTCCCTTCTTTGCTTCACTGTCCCCAGCTTTAATAACTGCTAAACTGTGTTCCAAAGAGGCTATACCTCTTTACATTCCCACAACTAATGAATGAATGATTGTTTCTCTGCATCCTCGCCAGCATTTAGTGTTATCACTGTTTTTTATTTCAGTCATTCTTCTAGGTGTGTAGTGATATCTCATGGTGTTTAAATTTTTTTTAATTGATTTGTGAGAGGAAGGGGTGGGGGTGGGAGGGATAAATATGGATTTGTTGTTCCACTCATTTATGTATTCACTGGTTGATTCTTGTATGTGTCCTGACCCAGGCTCGTATCCACAACCCTGGTCTATTGGATGACTCTCAACCAACTGGAGCAAACAGGCCAGGGCTCACTGTTTTTAATGTACATTTCCCTAATGGTTAATGATATTGAATATCTTTTCACTCATGTGTCTGTTTGCCAACTGTACATCTTTTTGAGTGAAATATCTTATGTCTTTTACCCATTTTCTTAATTGTATTATTTGGTCTTTTCTTAATTGTACTGTTTGAGTTTTGAGAGGTTTTTTTAATACATTCTAGATATTAGTTTTTTGTCAGGTATGTGGTTTGCAAATATTTCCCCTCAGTCTGTAATCTGTACATCCTCTTAACTGAGTATTTTGTAGAATAAAAGTTTTTAATTTTGATAAAATGCTTAGCAGATTTTAACTTGGTAGAACATATGAATCAAGAAATAACTTCCTGAAAAATCATCTGTTTGGTTCTCTCTCAAAACTCTACCTGAAGTGAATGCTAAAACAGGACTGCTCAAAGTGCTGGTCAGTGATAAGGAGCTGCATCGGAATGTAAATCTACAATATCAGTAAGCACACCTTTCAGTTTGGCAGTTCTGTTCATAGGGAGACTTTCTTAGTAAAGGAAATGTGTGCTAATTTACATTCTACTGGGAGCCACGAATCTTTAAAATGAGCAAAGAAAACCCATCAGCTGCCAGTCTCAAATACACTTTGAGTAGCACTGCACTAAAATAAATATTTGTCTAATGAGTTCCTTGTCAAAAAGAAGTTAGATTAGCCCGACTGCTGTTGCTCAGTAGTTGAGTGTTGAGACCTGTGAACCAGGACACGGTCAATTCCCAGTCAGAGCACATGCCTGTTTCAGACTCGCTCCCCAGTAGGGGGCGTGCAGGAGTCAGCCAATCATTGATTCTCTCTTATCATTGACTAGAGGTCGGGGAGAGGGGGAGGCCCTCAGTCCGGACTGCCCTCTCGCAGTCTGGGACTCCTGGGGATGCCCACCCAGGGGTAATTAGTGCTGCTGCAGAGGCAAGACGAGAGGCTCCTGTCACTGCTGCTGCTGCGCTTGCCAGCCAAGAGCCCCGTTTCTGCCCCCTTGTGGTTAGTGCGTGTCATAGTGACCTGTCATTGCATTTATCACATAGGATGTTTCTATATATTCCACTTCCTTTCTCTCTAAAATCAATAAAAATAGATATTTTTAAAAAGCATATCAGAATATACCTACAGAGTATTCATCATTCTTGAAATTTTTTAAAGTTTAAAAGTTGTACTTGCTTCGGCAGCACATATACTATAAAGTTTAAAATGTTTGGAAAAGTGTTCTTTCAGTATTTATTACAAAGATCTTAGGAATGGTCCAATTCACCAAGGGATTCCATACCTCCCCAAACAGGTCCTTCAGGGCTGAAATGAGCAGCTGTTTGAACTGTGCAGCATTCAGTCCAACCCCGTGTTCTTGAAATTCTCTGTAAAAAACATTGGGAAGAAAAAGTACATTGCATTAAATGTCATGCTATTCAGATTCATTAAAAAAAATAAAAATAAAAAGTAGAACTTAGGAGACTGCACTTACAGGCAGACTTTCATGTAGTGGTGCTCAGAGGGATTTTTGTAAACTATCCTCTCATATGTGGCAGTTGGGGCTGTCATCTTTTCCAATCCTGACTGCACCTACATTAAGAGCCAACAGGGCTAGAAATTAGCAAGGCACATGCTACTTTTCACTTTTTAAATGAGAATTTGACCAGTTTGATTTTTTAAAAGAACTCCTTAGGACAGTAACTCATGCAGATACAAAGGAAGTTTCTATTATTTTATAATATGCCAGACTACTGTATTCTTATTTAAATTCTAATAATACAATCCCACTGTATATTTTTCACTACTGAGTATCCAGCTCTGCACTAAATGCTTCACATACCTTAGGCCAGTGTTTCCCAAACTTCTCTCATGATGAGAATCACCTGGTGGAGTTGTTAAACTACAGATTCCTGGATCCCAACTAAGAATGCTAAACTAGAATTTTTGGAGCTTAGAGCACTAGTTAAGTATACAATTTTACCTATATGTTCCCAAAAATTCTAGCATAGCACTCTTAGTTGGGATCCAGGAATCTGTAGTTTAACAGCTCCACCAGGTGATTCTCATCATGAGAGAAGTTTGGGAAACACTGCCTTAGGCCATGTCTTCAAAATGAACCTATGAGGTAAAGCTGTTCTCGTCCCCATTTCTGAGAAGAGGACATCGAGGCTTAGCAAAAATATGCAACAGCTGCCCAAGGGCATACAGATTTCAAGCATGCCTGAGTGTTCCCAAGACCACTCTGGTATGCCTCTTTAAAAAAAAAAAAATAAATAAAATTCTTAATTGATTAAGGTATCACATATTTGTCCTCAACCCCCCATTCCAATCCCCCACCCCTCTATTGTCCCTGACCACTGGTTAGGCTCATATGTATGCACACAAGTCCTTTGGTTGATCTCTCCCTTTATCCCCACCCTCCCTCTGAGGTCCAACAGTCTGACCCATGGCTCCTTATCTCTGGGTCTGTTCTTGTTCATCAGTCTATGTTGTTCACCATTTCCCCTAGATGAGTGAGATCATGTCCTACTGGAAATATACTTAAAAGAATCGAAAATGAGACAAGCAATAATGGTTATGCTGAAAGGCAAATGAATGGTATACCTCTTAAGAAAAGTAAAGGTTAAAAGGAGTAAAATCTGGGACCTGAAGGCCCTCTTGTTTTCTGTCAGTCAACACAGAACATGGACAGGACAATGAGGCCATAGGTAGTCCCTTCCCATGCTGGGCCTGCAAATCCTCTGTCCAGAGGCTAGGTTGGCACAGGTCTATTTGGAAGCCCCAGGAAGAAATTGAGCTTCAACAGCAAGGGGTTGACAAGAGGAATTCCTGGATAGGCACCCAATGCCACTTCTCACAGACCAGAAACTCAGGAATTCAGATCACAAAGATCTCTGTGTGGAGAATCCCTATCCTTGGCTCCACTCCTACCTCACTCTCCTTTTGAGAGCTCCTATTCATTCCTCACATTTTAGCTTAGAGTTCTCCTGTCCCAGGTGGTCCACTTCAGGGAGCCCTTCTTTGACACCCTGTTCTAAGTTAGGCTCCTTTGTCATGCAATCTCTTAACACTGTCCATTTGTTTACTATCTGGTTCCCCTACTAAACGGACCAGGAAACAGGCCTGACCAAGGAAAGGGACTTACTGAAAATCACAAAGCTAAAGGCCAGCATTTGCCAAAAACCTCTTGTGGGTCAAGCCCAGTTCCACCATTTCCCAATGATAACCACCAGAGGAAATGAGAAATCAGGGCCAAGGAACCATATCCAACTAAACATTCGACAAACATGAATATCCACTGCGTCTAGAGGACGTACTCAACGCTTCCTGAACACAGGGCAGAAGTGACTGAATCAATGGCAGAAGTGTTAGGCCTTTATGTTCAACAGTATCTCTAACTTCGGGACCACAACCACAGTTACCTGGTGCTTCTTTCTCAAATCACTAGTCTCCCCTGACTAGGACAGGGAGAACCGAATCCTCCATGACTTCATTCACTGCCTGGCACATGCTGGGTGTTTTTTAGGTATGACTGCTTTGATGGAGTTGGCTGCCTGAGGTGTGTATGGGAATGAGATTGGACCTGGGTTTAGGATGCGGACAGCAATGAAGACTTAAGGAGTGTTCTGGAAATGGTAGCTGTGGGTGTACTTAATGCCAATGAACTGTACATTTAAACAAAAGGCATAAGCAGCAAGTGTGGAGCAGTCACTTCCGGCTGAACAGGCCTGAGCAGCAGGGTCACTGAAAACACTGTCCTCTACAGGCTGTCCTGAGATTTATGATGGCTGGGGAGCCCGGCTCACCACAAAAATGGGGAAAAAATTTTAAGTAACTGTCATCATTTAAAAATTTTTTTAAAAATTGATTTTAGAGAAGAAGGGAGAGAGATAAAACATCAATGATGAGAATCATTGATTGGCTGCTTCCTGCACGCCCCCTACTGCGGAACGAGCCTGCAACCCAGGCATGTGCCTTTGGTAGGAATCGAACCTGGGATCCTTCAGGGGAGGCTCATCATCATCATTGAAGTTGGCCTCCTGAATGGCTGCAGGGATGCTCTTGAATTTTTCTGTTAGTAACAGACCTCCCTGCTTCCCTTCCCAAACTGGCCTCTTCTGCAGCTTGGGTGAACTTTTCGAACCTGTTCCAGCCACGCCATTCCTTTGCTCAACACGTTGCGATGGTTCCCGTTTCACTCAGAGAAAGCCAAAGCCCCGTAGGTCGTGCCATGCCCCCTGCTCCAGCCCTTCCACCCCACGGGTTTCCCTCCCGCCCCTGGCCTCGCGCTTCCGCCGGGGCGCCACATGCTCCTCTCTCCTCTCCTCTCCCAAAGCTCACCCCATGTGGTCCAGTAACTATCTAATCCGCCGCCCCCCTGTCGGGCACCGGCTCCGCTCCTCTCACAGCCCTTCCCGCCTTGGAGGATGACTGTGATTCATTCATTAGTATCCCCTCCCGCCCACAAGAAACGGACCTGTTTCTCCCCTAAGAACCTAAACCAGGGCATCACACCCGGCAGGCACCCGACATAAAATGTCTGAACTGAACCAGTGATTTCTTAAAAAGCACTGAGGTCATTTTCAACTTTCCCGGACAAAGGTCAGCTGTGTACCCAGCGCCCACCTGGCGCCCCGCGCACGCGCTCGCACCCGGGCTCCGCTCGGCCCAGGCAGCCACCCGCCTCTTCCGCGGCTGTGTTGTCCAGAGGCTCCGGGAGGCCGGGGGTTCGCGGCCCGGCCTCGCCCGCCGCCCGCCCTCCCGCCGCGTCCCCGGCGGAGGTGGAGGGAGGGACTGCGGCCGCCCGCCGTCGCCCCGCCCTGCGCACGCGGCCTGGGTCACCCGCCTGCGTCACCCGCACGGCCGACCGGGCCGCTCCCGGGGACCAGCCGTCCGCGAGGGCCTCCGCCTACCGCTCTCCCCGAACCAGCCTGACGCCTCCCGACTCCCGTTCACAGCGAGCACCTCCAGGCCTGCACCTCCGCCGCCGCCGCTGAGCCGGAGCCGGGCCCGAGACACTCCGGGCCTGTTTACGTCCGGCTTCCGCGGCCCCGCCCCCCGGGAGCGCGACGCTGGGTGCGCGGGTGTGACGTCACTGCGTGGCGGCCCGCGGGCGGACGCGTGAATCCGGCTCTGCAGCTGAGACCCGCCGAGCTCAGCGCCCTCTGGCGCCCACTTCGGGGAAAGCCGCGTGTGCCAATGCCTGCGTGGGGTCCGGGACTCGGGAATGTTGGTTCCAACATTCCCGGCCCCATAGCCATTCGTTCACCCAGGCAAGTGAACTAGATGAGATGCTAGATCAACAAGTGTAGATCTAGCATCTCTTCTGCTGAGCATCTCCTAGGTCAAGCACTCCCCAAGGCCAAGACTCGCTTTCGGTGGCTCTCAGCACACAGCCTATGCATTTACTCAGGAAGTACTTGCTGAGCTCCTATTATGTATTATACTACCATGTTTCCCCGAAAATAAGACATCCTCCGAAAATAAGACCTACTTACAGGTTTCCTTCTGAGTGAAATATAAGGTATCCCCCAAAAATAAGGCCCCCCTAGGCTAAACATGATTCTGAAAGAAATGGAGTCACAAGAAATTCACCAGGAAATTCAGGAATTGGATTGTTATGATAATGTTCCAGAAGATGATGACATGATTGTCATTGAATAAATGAGTAAATTTTTGATACTGTAGGATTCACAGTTTGTCTGGTTTGTGTTGACAACCACCATATACTGTACTATATACAGGTAATAAATTTCCTTTATTTTCATTTAATAATAAATGTGTACCGTATTCTTCTTCATGGAAAAATAAGACATCCCCTGAAAATAAGACCTAGCGCATCTTTGGAAGCAAAAATTAATATAAGACACTGTCTTATTTTTGGGGAAACAGGGTAGGTACTGGGACTCCTTGAAAAACCAGGAAGATCCGGCTTCTGTTCTCGTGAAACATAGTGCTTGTATTTAAAAGTAACAGCTACTGCCAAAACTGGTTTGGCTCAGTCAGCCTGTGGACTGAAGTGTCCCAGGTTAGATTCTGGTCAGGGGCATGTACCTTGGTTGCAGGCACATCCCCAGTAGGGAGTGTGCAAGAGGCAGCTGATCGATGTTTCTAACTCTCTATCCCTCTCTCTTCCTCTGTAAAAAAAAAATCAATAAAATATAAAAAATAAAACAAAAGTAACAGCTACTAAAATAATAGTAATAATTAATAATAATAATAAATAAATAAAATTAACGGAACTCTCCTCAGAGAAGACGGAACTTGTTCCAGATCCGGGGAGAGGGAGAGGAAATCCACCCAGACAGTGGCCTTTTCCTCCAAGAGCTTGGATTTCAGAAGCTGTCAAAAACTGCTGCAAGTCATTCCTTCACCACTTCCTCGGTGCCCTTATCTGTCACCTGGAGAGATTAGTAACATCTCCCTCAGAGTGCTGAGGAACTAATAGTTTTGGTAAAGTATTTGGCACCCAGAAAATACTCTGGAATAAGAGATAGTTCCCTAAACCCCTCCTGCCAGGCTGCAGCCCAGAGGAACCGGAGCAGCTCATGTATTTTGGATTTCAAAGA